CTGCGCGTGCGCCCCCGGCCGAGACCGTCGCCCCGCCGCGTTCTTGGGCGCGCGCGTCCCGCCCTTTCCTCCTGCTCATCCTGGGCGAGGGCCTGGACGTTGCTCCGCGCTCCGAGCCGAGCCGAGCCAGATCGAGCCGAGCCGAGCTGGGTCGGGTGGCGCCGGGAATGCGCCGCGCGGCAGGCGGGGAGCGGGATGGAGGTGGAGGAGGCGTTCCCGCTGGTGGGGCAGATGGGGCCCTACCAGGTGTACCTGTGCGTCCTGCTCGCCGTGCTGCTCCAGGTGAGACGCTGCCCTCTGGGCAACGTGGAGGCAGCGTGGAGTAGTGGGTGGATTTGGTGTGTGGTTTGGGGCTGGGGCTTGCTGCTGAGGATGGCTGGGGCTGGTGGGGGTGCCCCGTTCTGGATTCGGCCTGTGGCGCTTTGCGCTGATCCTGAGGTGAAGGCAACCCCCTTTCCCGAGGCAAAGTGAATTTAACCCGGGAAAACTGGGCAAAAGACTGTTACTCTGTGTGCTCCCTTCTTCCAGGAGTGGGGAGAACTTGCCAGATGGTAGGGTGGTTGGAATGGGAGTGTGTTGGGGTTTCCATTAGGAAGGCTGGAAGCTGGGGCTTCTGTCGGAGATTTGGATGTGCGTCCTACCGAACTGAGCTTTAGGGGCCTAAGACAATTTTGTCTAGGTTGCCCATGGAAATGGTTAGAAACTTCAGGTGAAAACTGGCGGTTCTGTGTGCAAGAACTAAATGGCTGATAAGCAGTGTCTGCGCCAATACTCCAACTTCTGTTGGCTTAGCTCTTAACTTCTCTCTGAGTGTCTGTACCAGCTATTTGGGTGAGGCTTTGCTGTTCTTGGGCAGGCTGTTTTGTGTTTTTATGTTGCTGTGAGGCTCAAAACTAGAATATTTGTAGTTCAAGTGATAAAAATAGAGCTATGGGTAACAGTGGGGTGCTTCGGTATTCGAAGACTGCGTGACCAAATCATGCGCTCTGCCACAAGGTCATTGTTTACGTCCTGTTCTGCTTCATCCTTGAGCACATGCCCATGGGAGAAGAGAAAGGAGTTTCAGGTTAGACATTAGGAAAA